TATCCATAGCATTTCATCGATTATAGGCTAATCTATAGTTTGAGCCAAGTTTTGAGGATTAATAACAAAGGAGAATATCATTTCCAATCTGATTTTTTTTTTTGGTAAATAAGCCAATATTTAGGGCTTGGAAAGCATTTTGACAATTATTTTGTTCCTCTCTAAACATATCACAGAATAATAGTTAAAAGCTGAAGTATGTCCCATTTCTTGGATGCTTACATTGCCAAGTTTTCAAAAAAGCAAGATTTTTTTTAGTAGTCTTCAAGAGTATTCCTACAACCAACTTCAACTGGCCTGATAGCTTTGAAAACCTCTAACTTGAGGCTCAACAGCTGAAACAAAAAAGCCGGAGAATGATCTATTCAACAGACTGAGGCACGTAAGAATAAAACAAAACTGGCCGGGCGCGGTGGCTCAAGCCTGTAATCCCAGCACTTTGGGAGGCCGAGGCGGGTGGATCACGAGGTTGAGAGATCGAGACCATCCTGGTCAACATGGTGAAACCCTGTCTCTACTAAAAATACAAAAAATTAGCTGGGCATGGTGGCTCATGCCTGTAATCCCAGCTACTCAGGAGGCTGAGGCAGGAGAATTGCCTGAACCCAGGAGGCGGAGGTTGCGGTGAGCCGAGATCGCGCCATTGCACTCCAGCCTGGGTAACAAGAGCGACACTCCGTCTCAAAAAAAAAAAAGAATAAAACAAAACTGCTTTATGCCATTACCAAAACTCCTAAATTATCTTTTCCTAACTCCTTAAGAACAATAAATGCAGCTCCACAAAGCCTGAGAGCCTTTCATAGGATTCAGCTGTAGTCATTCCTCAGCTGGAGCCCTGGGAAATACCACAAACCTCAGAGAATTGCACGTATGTGGAAACTTTTCCCATAGAATTGTAGTAGGTGTCTGTTGTGGTTTGAGTCCCTTTATGACTAATGTAGTGGCTAGTGGGTTTATGATTTCATTTCTGTTTGGTTTCTTTTCCTTTTTTTTTTTTTTTTTGAGATGGAGTCTTGCTGTGTTGTCCAGGCTGGAGTATAGAGCAATCCTCCCTGGTTCGAGCAATTCTCCCTACTTCAGCCTCCTGAGTAACTGAGATAACAGATGCCAGCCTTCACGCCCACCTAATTTTTGTATTTTTAGCAGAGATGGGGTTTCACCATGTTGGCCAGGCTGGTCTCAAACTCCCGACCTCAGATGATCTGCCCACCTCGGCCTCCCGATGTATTGGGATTATAGGCATGAACCACCGTGCCTGACCAAGATTTTGTTTCTTTTACGGGTCTAAGTGGCTACAAAACATTGCTGTGAGGATTGTTTGCCAGGTTTTGGTTTTTGTTTTTAACCAGTGTACCAGTCTTTTTACAAATGTACCTACCAAGGAAAGGAAGAGAAAACTGTGGAGCGGGGAGGAAATCAGCAGAAGTCTAGCTTGTGATTCTACCGCTCTGCCCTGAAGGGGAATTTTTTTCCCAATAATGAAAGTGTGATGGAGCCTAGATTCTTTATGCAATTGAAGTTCCTTCCAAAAACAGCAAAGCGGGGGGGGTCTCGAGGTCTAAAGCTGCTTGGGCACTTCCACATTCACTCCTGGCCTCTGCAAGATCCAACCATGTGGCCTTGGGGAACAATAAAAGCCGAGGTGTATCAGGTCAGCCAGCTGACCATAAGCTGTGCTTACAACACGAATGGCTCTTTGTTTTCATGCTGAAAATATGCACCTCCTGGAAGCTCTTCTGTCTTGGTCAGCTGTATGTGATGTGATTTGCATTATGGAATGTGGGGGGCATGTGCTCACAAGCATTCTGATTCAGGAATCAGGTTTCTCTTATGTACTCAATTTGTGTTGCCTTCTGTGGTGGCCTTAATACATTTTTTTGTTTTTAATTTTGGACTTACTTTAGAGCGATTTAATTTCTATCAAATCCTAAGCCTAGAATGTCTAATAATTGCACTACAGTTAGCAAAATGTCCTGGAGCCTAATTTCACAAATCCCATTTTCCTGTGGCCCAGGAGCCCTTGGTCTTGGTACCTAGGAAGGGTACTCAGGTGAGTGACTGAGGTAGGAGAACATCTGCTTTGGCCTACTCTCTGGGCAGTTACCTTCTGCTGAGTGGTGTGTGGGTGAACATACATGGCATTGCAAGCTCCTCAAAGAGATAAGACAGGTCTCATTGATACATCATGGATAGATTTGCCAGAACTAGTTATATTGATATATTTTGCTTCCTCCTGAGGGTGTGTTCATATTCACGGAAGAGTACTTCTCAGGCAAATGTAGGGAGTAAGAAATAAGCTTTATGTTCCTGGGAGTCAGGAAGCCTACTTAACATGGTTTAAAGCCTTCACTCTACCACTAACCCACCAGTAGATTTTGGTATCTGTGCTTTGGTTTGGGAAGCCTTGGTTGGAATAAAAGAGTCTAATAGATTATTTTTGAGACAGAGTCTTGCTCTGTCATCCAGGCTGAAGTGCAATGGCACAATCTTGGCTCACTGAAACCTCTGCCTCCAGGGTTCAAGCAATTCTCCTCCCTCTTGGGTTCAAGCAATTACAGGCATGTGCCACCATGCTCAACTAATTTTTGTATTTTTGGTAGAGACAGGGGTTTCACCATATTGGCCAGGTTGGTCTCGAACTCGCTGACCTCCAGTAATCCACCTGCCTCCACCTCCCAAAGTGCTGAAATTACAGGCATAAGCCACTGCGCCCAGCCCAGATAGTTGAATTTAGGTTTTTTGTCATTTTTTCCCTGTAGGATCTCTAAGTCTTTAATATGTTAATGGATATTATTATAAGTTCTAAGAGTGTATAATGTATCCCAAGTTAGCATGACTGTTGAATACTCCGAACCCCAAAAAAGCCTATAACTTGAGCTATAAATTTCTATTGAATATAGTTCAAAAACTCTTTCTAGAAGCAGAAGTTTCCTTCCTGCTCTAAAGTTCTATGAATTTACAAAAACAATGCAGAATTACACACTTTAATGGAAAAATAAAAAGAGGTCCAGTTGATGATCTTATAGTAACAATAAAGGATTTATATTGCATATAAAGGTATTCACTATAGATCGTTTAAGCAGAAGGGTATTTATTATAACCAGTAGCTTATATCATGTAATCGAAGACCAAAAAAAAAAAAAAAAAGTCTTAAATGCTACCAAGGAAAATCTAGGAAAAATGCCCAACCACATCAGTTGTCCTATCAAAAACACCTCTGCTGTTGCTGCTGACCTTTTGGCTCACATGGCACTATGAAACAGAAGTGAAAACTACACTAAAGCTCCCAGAAGCACTACTCATGCCACTGTGCTTGCTGAACGCTACAGTTTCCTCACATGTGTACATTACTTCACCTTGCTTACTTCTGCCCCGTGCAGCACATTGTGGTAGGCAAAATTCTGAGATGTTCCCCAAGATTCCTGCTCCCTGACATATACACCCTTTACAATACTCTCTCCTTGAATGTGAGCAGGACATGTGAATACAATGGGATGTCACTCCCATAATTACGTTCTAGTATATGGCAAAAAAAGGATTTTGCAAATATAATTAAGGCGTCCAGTTAGTTGGCTGTGAATTAATCAAGAGTGATATTATTTTGGGTGAGCCTGACCTAATCAGGTAACCAGTTAAAACAAAATAGAGATTCAAAGCTAAAGGCATTTTCCTGTTGATTTTGAAGGAGGAAACTGCTATGTTGTGGGGAGGGCCATGTGGTAGAAGATGGCAAGAAGCCTCTAGGAGCTGTGAATGATCCCTGATTGATAGCCAGCAAGAAAGCAAAGACTTCAGTCCTACAACTGCAGAAACTGAATTCTGCCAACAACCAAAGAGCCTGGAAAATGATACTGATAAGATTGTAGCCCTGGCTAACACCTTGATTTCAGCCTTGTGAGAGTGTGAGCAGACGATCAGCTAATCCATGCCCATACTCCTGATTTGCAGAAACTGTGAGCCAAACAATGATGTTATTGTAAATTGCTTAATCTGAGCATGCAGCAATAGAAAATTTATATTTGCCTTTGTATGACAGAGCCCAGTTCACTCCTCAAATTCAAACTGCAAGACCTTTGGGTGAATTACATTGTTAGCTTTCCATACTCTAAAATTCAATAAGAGAAACCAGAAGTGGTTGTTGTTTATATTAAGTAAGTCAATCTCTAGTGTCAGCCACCCACTTCTTTTGAAAATTATTTTCCAAAACATCTTTACAGGATATATGATAGGCTAAAAAATGTCATTTCATTTTTTGTTTGTTTGTGTAAAACAGCAAAGATCAATCTGCCCTGTGAGCAAATATTCAAGAAAAAGTCATTAACATTGCTGTCAGCAATTCCTTTATATGATTCAACCAGTTGTCTCAACTCATATATAAATATTCCTGCTGATTTCTCTATTAAAAAGTGCCTAGAAAATAAATGATCACTTTAGGAGATTACTGCTACTCCAGGAGTGGCCACTTTAGCAGGATTGTTGACATGGAGACTTTCCATGACTTTATACATATGTTGATAAGAACGCCTGTGGCCTCTGGTTCTCATCAGTATTGAGTAGATTGAAAATATTCTCAGTGGTCTTCTCATAGACAATCCAACAAACCATCAAACAAGTAAAGCTAGTAGGAGAGAGATTTTTTAAAATCTTCCAGCAGAGAAGCATTAGGGCAAGTTAGATTTACCTCATAATGTACTACTACTTCTCGCAGGGAGTTTGAGAGGACAGTATTCCATGAAAGCAGAAAAGTTTTCCGATTCACCACAAGGCTGGGGTTGTTTTCCACATAACAAATGTATAGCATTTGATCCTCCCCACACTAAAGTGCTTCTGTTTATTTTTACATCAAGTAAATTTTAACCATCTCCCTTGCTTTATTAATACTCTCTAACCCAACTTCCTCTCATTTCAAACCACCAATGGTGAGGAAGGGTAAACAATAAGAACGACATGTAAGAAATTGTGGTAGCCAAAAACAAAACAAAAAGTCCCATTTGCTTTACCTCATGTCGTAATTTCCCAGACTTGTTCCTCTTGGCCGTGTTGAGCTCGGCATTTTCTCGCGGGGAGCAGAGCAACTTCTTACAAAACTTTACTTCGTGGGTTTTCCCAGGTGCCTGTTATTTCCTTAACAGCACATAGTAGCAGTCCCTTAATTTTTCACAGTTCTGAAAGTTGGCAAAGTGCCTTCAGAAAGTCTTGTCTTATTTCAATTGATTCCTTTGCAACAACCCAACAGGAGTCAGGACATGTATCATTATTTTCAGTTTATAAACAACAGAAGCTTCCATTTCTATAGTTACGTAACTGGCTTACGCTATGATAAGCCATGACATGTAGATCAGAACCCGAGTGTTTGGAGTGTAAATGAGGCAGTTGTTCCCCAGGACTCCTGCCCTCTTACCAATACATCAGTGAATGGACATAAATAAATATTTAGTAGGCAATGGCTTCCTGCTGTTCTCTAGTCTTGCCTACCTAAATCCTCTTTGCACTCAGAAAATACACATGTGACACTATTGACAAAATTAAGTACAAGTTTCCAAGCATTGACTTCTGAATAGGAAGGAAAAAGAAAAAAGAAATTTTCAAGCATAAATTTGTATACTGCTTACCTCTTAAGTTTTACCCTTTTTCCTCCAGAACAACCATGTCTTATAGTCTGTTCCTAACACCTCCTGGCTTCTGCCTAGACTTGCCACTGACTGCCTTTTTTGTCTGAGTAAGCTGTATTTGCCCCTGAAGACTTTGCTCAGACTTTTCCCAGGCTGGTCAGGAGAGTCCACTTCCTATTCAGTCTGTTTCTCTTCTTATCACATTACTAAAATTTCTGCTAAAGTGTGCATAACCCTCTCTAGGCTATGAGCTCATTTAGATGTCTTATTTTTCTTACATTCTCTGTATTTAACTTGGTGCTGGGAATTTCAGCACTGAAATGTTTGTGGAATTAGAATGAATAAGCAATGGTTTTATTGGCCAGAAAATAGAAGCAAACAAAAGTGAGCCTCCAGAGGTATAAATTCCCTATCCAAACTTGCTCTGTGGGGACTGAGAGTCTAGGCAAGGGATGAGTCACCTCCTTTTACACTTTGCCATAAGTTGGTCTGGAGAGGGGAATAAAGAGCAGAGGGAGTGAGGCCAAGGGTCCTGGGATAAAAGGGTACACCTGTGGGTACCGTAGTGACCGTGGAGCTTTCCCATTCAAATTTTCCTTCCAGAGGACCCGCGGCAGGGAAGAGAGCTGGCTGACAGCCTTCCGATGCCCCACCTTTAAGCTGATTGCAGCATTCAAACCAGGTGCTGCTTTCCACTGGCTGCTCCCAGATAATGGCATAGCACCGTAGGCGTAGTAGGGCCAGGTCACCTCTGCCTGACACAAAACTCCTCTAATGAGAAGCTTCAGGTCTTAGAGCTCAGGGATCCACACTGGCCTGGCCGAGACATTCTCAGAACTGTACTGCGGTCTGAGGTTGCTCCCAACTCCATCCTTCCTTCTTGTTCTCCTTTCCCAGACCTGCCTCAGGGGCTGAAGGCTGTACCTGCCCCCTCATGCTCCCTGCCCATTGTTCCCAATAAATCTCTTGCCCATATAATCCCATTTTGACAGCTGCTTTCTAGAGGACCCAAACTGACAGAGATACTTCAAGATTTAGAGCTAAATGTATACTTTTTAAATGTTACTCAAAATCTGTAGACTACTATCCATTTAATAATGCCCCACTTAGTCTAGAGCTACATAATAGTTTAGAATTAGTGCTTAAAATAAAAAGACAGGAAAAATAGGTTCTGCTTCTGCACACCTGAGGTACATACAGGCAAAGTGGAAGGATAAAGGAGCCCAAGGCTGGCCTGCAACTGGTGTGAGGAGGATCAGGCTCTCGTGGAATCCTGTGGCAACTAGACCGTGGCCAAGTCATCAGGGTACTACATGGGTTGAGGAGCACGGAGCAGGCTTCTGACAGCCACAGAATATAAATAACACATCTGTCTCCACCACTAACCAGAGGAGGAGAGCCACAGAGAAGGGGAGACGGCAAGAATTAACTTGTGTATCAACCCCTGAAATGGGCTAACACATCCCTTGTTATTTTGTTTTTAAATTTTAATTGGGTATTTTGGCTGGGTGCAGTAGTGGCTCATGCCTGTAATCCTAGCACTTTGGGAGGCTAAGCAGGAAGATCGCCTGAGATCAGGAGTTCAAGACCAGCCTGGCCAAAATGGCAAAACCCTATCGCTACTAAAAATAGAAAAATTAGCCAGGTCTGGTGGTGAATGCCTGTAATCCCAGCTACTCAGGAGGCTGAAGCAGGAGAGTAACTTGAACCCAGGAGGCAGAGGTTGCAGTGAACCGAGATTGTGCCACTGTATCTCTAGCCTGGGCAACAGAGCAAGAATGCAGCTCAAAAAAAAATTTTTTTTAATTGGGTATTTCAAACCACTTTATACTTTTGCTGTATTTGTGGATATTCATAACCAGAAACGTATATAAATATCATGAGAGTTGTGACCTGGAAGCATTTCATTGTATGGGGAAATCTTTGAGATGCCAAACAGCAAATAGTTAATTAACCCTTTAAAAAACCTCCTTCCGATGAAAAATCCGAACTCCATGAGAAAAAGCTTCTAATTCCTTAAAAATAGAGCACTCGGTCACCCAAACATGCTAGAGTAAGTTTCAGTTCTCTCACACAATCTAAACTAAACTATCAGCCTATACTAAACTATTAGCCTCTCTTTGATCATGTGGCCAGGTAAATGAAATAACAACAGGTCTACACTGAGACACTTGGATAACTTGCAATGTCTGGTTTACTTATCTTCATAGTATTTCTGAGCCTAATATTAATGCGACCTATAGTTTTGCCTTTCTTCAAAATAAGACAAATTTAAAGAAACAACAGAAAAGGTTACTGAGCTCCCCCAACATATCCCAAGAAAAACAAGGTATATGTGAGCCATGATAAATGTCAGGTGATAGAAGCTTCTTGGAATGCAATATCTTTCACCTTTATTTAGTTCATTGAATAATGTAAAACAGAATGAGTAGAGCCCCTACCACAGCTACCTCAAAGATTTTATACAACCTCCTGGAATCGTTTAGCCTTTAACCTCTGAGAAAACCAGGAGCCAACATTTTCCAGGATTTTCCTTCTATTGTTTAATATTACAGAAATAGTACCTTTCTTTTTTCACCCCAACTATAAAATTATATAATTATACCGAATAAATGGTTTTCAAACAACAAATACTTTAATGAAGATTCTAATGTATTCTATCCCGTCTCTGAATATCAGGGTAGGTCTCCTCAATATCAATTGAGAATAATTGGTCTGGGCTAACAGTGTTACTTAACAGATGAGAAAAACTGAAGCCACAAATTAAGTGATTTGTACAAGTTTAAAAAATTAATGAAAACCTGAAATTGATTTTATGTTACATCACTTATGTTAATCAATTTGAAAAGTATATTCCAATATTGTTGAAAGACAATGGATAAAATACACAATAATTTCTACCTGTAGTAGTCCATTTTCACGCTGCTATAAAGAACTACCCGAGACTGGGTAAATTATTAAGACAATAGGTTTAATTGACTCATAATTCCACATGACTGGGGAGGCATCAGGAAACTTACAATCATGGCAGAAGGCAAAGGGGAAGCAAGGCACGTCTTACATGCTGGCAGGAGAGAGAGAGAGAGAGAGGGGAAGCACCACACTTTTAAATCATCAGATCTTGTAAGAACTCACTCACTATCATGAGAACAGCATGGGGAGGGAAAATCCTTCCCCCGATCCAGTCATCTCCCACCAGGTCCCTCCTCTGACACATGGGGATTAAAATTCCACATGAAATTTGGGTAGGGACACAGGGCCAAACCATATCACTACCCCTGAATGATAAAATGTGACAAATTTTCTGTAATATTATATTCTGTCTGTTAAGTTTCTATGGACTGCCTTTCATATAGCCTCTTGTAAAGAATAGGGGATAGTTCCTGCCCTCTAGGAGTTTATGGCCTAGAGGGTACAATGGACAAATACATGGATTACTTCAATTTGTGAAGCAGATTTAACAAGCGTGGAAAAACAATGATGTTCAAGCATAGAAGACAGTGATTCAACCAAGGTTAGTGATCAGGAAGCTTCTTAAAGCAGTCGTCCTACCTCTACAAGATGAATGTTCCTAAAACAGAACCTATAACTGTTTCATCTTAGTAACCCACAGTGCCTGCTAGCATACCTGGTTTATTCACCCCTAACAAATATTGCTTTCACTTTTGCATGACAGTTTTCTTACACAATGCTATAGCCAAATAGTTTTAAGAACTTTGCAAACACCTACATGATTGCACTCAATGCCATTTCTTTACAATTTTTTAAGTATTTGAATAAAATTTATTATGGCATATGATATGCAAAAAAAAGAAAGGGGAAAAAAAGCCCTCTTGTTTTTTTATTCAAAAGGGAATTCTTTCTTCTTTACCTCTTCTCTTTTGATGTAGGGGAACTTGACTTTCTGTGTTTTGTATAAGTAAAAGCAAAAACAAAATTCTTCCAATTAAATGATATGAATGAATTGAACAATTAAAAAATAGTAAGAACAGACTCATTTTAAAAATATTCAGTAAGATAGATGGCCTGAACTATTTTACTTATAATACGGGGCAAGAATTGAAAAGTTTTAAGAACATGTTCTTACAAGGTCTATAATTTCCTCACCCTCAACTGCCTCTTTGACTCCAACTTCCTTACCTCCTCCCTTCTCCATTGGCTTAAGCACTGGCCTGAACAAGTAGTGTGCCAACACTGCCTTTTTCTCAGAATACAAGAATTGTGCCACCCACAGTCCCATGGCTGGAGGCCAGGGCACTGCCAGCAACACAGGCATGAGTCAGGCTGTGGCTTGTGTAAGAATTCCTGGTCCAGGTTCTTTCCTGACAGTTCACTTGGAATTGCCACCATTGACAGTATGATGGCAAGAAGGATGTGTTAGAAAAGCATATAGTAAGGCAACTCCTAGTCTTGTTACTTTCTAGAGGTATGACCAATAGCATTTCTCCTAATCTGTTCTGTTTACCCCATAGAGGTATTGTAAGAACCAGAACGAGACAATGAACACTAATTATTTAATTTTTGTTAGTGAGGGAAAAGAGACAGTCTTACATGCCATTAGTCAGAGTACAGATTACAATACTTTCTGGAGAGTAATTTGGCAGTAATTATTAAACATAAAAATGTCCAGTCCTGTGGCCTAATTACTCCTTTTCTGGAAATTGAGCCTCAGGAAATAATTAAGAAAGTGTAGAAAGATGTTCATAAAAGGATGTTTACCAAAATGCTGTTTGTAATAACCAAATATCAGAGACAATCAAGTGTCTAATAATAGAATTTGGGTAAATACATTTGAATATACCTACATAGTAGAGTACTATACAGCTATAAAAAATAATGTTGTAAAAATAAAGAATATAGCTATTGCTACATTATATACAAAATGTAGTTATTAAGTATATAAACAAATCACAAATTTGTATATATATACTGATTCTCTCTCTCTCTCTCTCTCTCTCTCTCTCACACACACACACACACACACACACACACACACACACTTACATACAAAGAAAAGGGGTGGGAGTATGGAATTATATCCACCAAGGGGTCCAAAGGGTTTAACTCAAAGTA